TGGATGCAGTGACTTGTGTGTGGATACTTAATTGTACTACCAGTGGTATGCTTATAGTTCAGTCATTTTCATTGTTTACAACACTCGCATGCTGGGAGCCTAGCAATGTAATATGGTTTGGACTGTTGATCAACATTAGTGAAACATTATGTTTAGGACTAGCCATATAGTTTTGTTTGGGTTTCATGAAATTTCTAATCCTAGTTAGAATTACAAGTCATTTTATGCAGTAGCAGAAAACTAAAATGTCTTTCTTGCATAGATTCTAATTACTGTTATCATTCAGTGGTTTTGTACCAAGGGTATTTATTTAGATGAAAAAGCACACTATCTTCTTAAGTTCGCTTTGGATAAGTGGATTTCAAATAAAGGAATTTTAGTTGAATTTTATAAAATTATAAGAAGATTGGCTATTGAAGGTAGATTGATAACTCTGAAGTGGATGATTGAATAAAGGTATGGGACATGTATTTTATTAAGATTCTTGTACAGGTAGAATTTTTTATGAAAGGATTTTAAATAATTATTTTCAGCAAATTATTTGAAATTCATCAATATAAAGCCTTTTAAATCCATTCTTAATGTCTAAATATAAAACATTACACTGAATTGAAGACTATACTCCTCAAATTATTGATGCCTAATCTTTTCATTTCAAATCTATAAATTCAAAGGCAACCTTAATAGATACATTGGATTGCCTTCCCTCAATAGTGAGAAACGTGCTGTGTATAATTTTGACAACTGTAGTTTTCCACCCCCCCCACTTTGTGATGGCATTCCTAGGTGAACTTCTGGGGCTCTCCATTTAATGGGGCTGTTTGGTGCACAACTTCTACTTAGTTGAAAGTTGATAATAAGAAAATAGAAGCTAAAAACCTCTCCCCTGCGTCCTGGTAATCAATTTTTTTAGCTTATTTGAGCTACTTCTACCTTAAAAGCTATAAACAAAAGCTGTACCAAACACCATGGCTCATATTTCCAAAATAGAAAAAGCTATAAGCAGCTCCATGAGCTGTGGTAACGAGAATAATCTTCTCCTTCGAGAAGAATCAAAAAGAAAAATGGGAAGTGTTCAATTGGAACATGAAAACGTGACTAAATTGATCCTAGTTGCTCTTCGGGACAGAGTGGAAGAAAGGAAGAGATTCTCAAATGTGGAAAAGGATCCAATGACTTAGAAAGAATTGAACGAGGAGCCAATGAGGTGAAAATCTCATTCACTGTTCTGTAGAGTGGCACCAAACGGCCCCAATGTATTATCTATCCTGTTTCCCTAAGGATATTCTGTATCTGATCACTGTTTATGTTATCAGGTTATATGTCTGCACCAGTGATGCCACCAATGGTGGGGCCACCTGCTGCTGCTGCTGCTTTGCCTGGTCAAATTACCAACCTCCCAAGGCCTCCACCAATGGGTGCTCCATCAGCAGTTCCAGGGACCACTATGACTCCTGCTAGTGTTTCCACCTCAATGGTTACCCCAGCTATGTATCAGGCGGCTAATTCAGCGCCACCTACAAGTGGAGGTTTTGATAGTTTCAACATGAGTGCTCAAGCTCCAGAGGCTGATCATTAGTATGGTACTAGGTTTTTGTTTTTAAATCTTGTAGAATTGACTGTGTAATTGCAGCAGTACATTGTTTATGGGACATGACAAATTGTGTAAGGAAATCTGGCCATCTCAAAATAGTAAGAAATCACTGCATTTTTTCTAAAAGCATTTTAGGCCATTAATTACAACCATTTATCTCTAAAAAAATTATCTTGTTTCATTTCCTGCGCTAGTGACAACATGCATTTGGTATGCATTTCATTGCTGGATCTGTTTGGATTGTTTGTGTCTTAAGGTTCTGGGGTAATGTATGCTGATTTGTTTCTCAAATGGGTAGCACATTGACTCTACTCCTTTAGGGGATCATGATCATCAGGCTGCTTCAACTTTTTCCTCTCCACTGTCTTTTCCTTTTTCTCAGATGAAAAAATATCATCAATAGATATCCAAGTCAACAGAACTCTGGTTGTGTTTTAGAGATTGATTCCCTTTTGAGCGGGAAGTTGGCTTTACAGTTGCCGAAGTTACAGAGCTTGTGAGGAAAAAAAGAAAAAGAAAAAGAAAAAGAAAAAGAAAAAGAAAAAGAAAAAGAAAAAGAAAAAGAAAAAGAAAAAGAAAAAGAAAAAGAAAAAGAAAAAGAAAAAGAAAAAGAAAAAGAAAAAGAAAAAGAAAAAGAAAAAGAAAAAGAAAAAGAAAAAGAAAAAGAAAAAGAAAAAGAAAAAGAAAAAGAAAAAGAAAAAGAAAAAGAAAAAGAAAAAGAAAAAGAAAAAGAAAAAGAAAAAGAAAAAGAAAAAGAAAAAGAAAAAGAAAAAGAAAAAGAAAAAGAAAAAGAAAAAGAAAAAGAAAAAGAAAAAGAAAAAGAAAAAGAAAAAGAAAAAGAAAAAGAAAAAGAAAAAGAAAAAGAAAAAGAAAAAGAAAAAGAAAAAGAAAAAGAAAAAGAAAAAGAAAAAGAAAAAGAAAAAGAAAAAGAAAAAGAAAAAGAAAAAGAAAAAGAAAAAGAAAAAGAAAAAGAAAAAGAAAAAGAAAAAGAAAAAGAAAAAGAAAAAGAAAAAGAAAAAGAAAAAGAAAAAGAAAAAGAAAAAGAAAAAGAAAAAGAAAAAGAAAAAGAAAAAGAAAAAGAAAAAGAAAAAGAAAAAGAAAAAGAAAAAGAAAAAGAAAAAGAAAAAGAAAAAGAAAAAGAAAAAGAAAAAGAAAAAGAAAAAGAAAAAGAAAAAGAAAAAGAAAAAGAAAAAGAAAAAGAAAAAGAAAAAGAAAAAGAAAAAGAAAAAGAAAAAGAAAAAGAAAAAGAAAAAGAAAAAGAAAAAGAAAAAGAAAAAGAAAAAGAAAAAGAAAAAGAAAAAGAAAAAGAAAAAGAAAAAGAAAAAGAAAAAGAAAAAGAAAAAGAAAAAGAAAAAGAAAAAGAAAAAGAAAAAGAAAAAGAAAAAGAAAAAGAAAAAGAAAAAGAAAAAGAAAAAGAAAATCTTTTGGGTATGTAGTTAAGAGGTACTTGTTGGAGAATGTCAACAGAACTCAAATATTTAAAAACCTCAGAGATTTTGCCTAACCCTCCAAGAAGGATTCGGTTATTCCTGCCCACAATCATTGAGGTATTGGAAATAATTTTGGAACTTCAATTAGGCATTTGAGTAGTAGGTAAACACCTCAATTAAATGCAGCAAATCTAGATGCAACTTCATAGACTACAATAGCTGAGGACATACCCAAAAAGTTTATTTATTAAATATTATTGAGAGAGAGAGAGAAAGATGTAAGTATATTGTGTGTCCGACATAATATATCTCCACGTGTCATGCATATATGTGCAATAGCAGCCATGTGCTTTCATTTCTTTCCACCACAATAAAGTGGCCCTTCTTTCTTTATACTAGACTATACACCACACTAAAAATCCTGCCAATCAACTTGAGTTGAGTGAAGCTCAAAACCAATATATATATATATATATATAAAAGGAGTAGAGAGAGTGGCTAAACCCAAAAACCTTGAACTGAAGAGCCTGTCAGATTTACATACAACTTATGATTTGGTTAAACATTGGCACTTGCATTATTCCTGAAGCTGCGTAAACCAGGTGGTGATGGCTTTGGAAAGAACTCTAGTGTCATTCATTGAAAGAGTCTTTAGACCCTGAGCAATAGCATCTGCCGGAGTGTACAAATATCCTACTTGCCATCTAGGTTCCTGATCATGCAGGGGCAAAAAAAGAAAAACAAAAACAAAGGGACATTAAAATTTCATAGAGATGGAACATGGATGGCCATGATCAACTCAAATGGAATGAATATGTATAGGGAAAAAATGTTATGTTAGTGCTGGAGTGTACAAGTAACCTGCTAGCCATCTTGATCTCTGAATCTCTGATCATGGGACGGAAAGCAAAAAGAAAAAAACTTATGAAGGCAGAAAAAAAAAAATTATCTAGTTGGGAAATATAGCCATTTATATAATCTAAAAAGAAAAAAATACAAAAATAATAAATTCATCTTTATATGTCAACATTTTTTTAAGATCTTTCTCACGACTAAAAAATCAATGAACTTGTACCAAGGCGCATGATTCAATCTATATGGTTTAGTTTATAAATTTTTTTTTTTTAAAAGTCAAAAAATAAATCTAAACCCTCAACCAAATATAATTATATATATTGAAACCTGTATTTAGTGAGTTTTTTTTTTCTTCTCTCTCTTCAATTCTGGGCATCATAGTGATTCAATTCAAAAGGCTAAAGTTATATTCTGAAGGGTAAATTATAAATACACTTTTTGAGATTTATTTAAAATATAAATTATTTTTTATAATTTAAAAAATTACAAATATTTTTTTGTCAGAATTTTTATTTAACCAAAATAAAATAAAATTTTTAACTGTTTTCCTATAACCAAACCAAACTAAACCAAATCAAGCCTTAAGTCTCATCAAGTAAGGTCGACTACATGAATTCTTCTCCGCTTGACTCTATTCAAGACCATTTTGTTAGTCAAATTAAAGAGATTTATATCTCTATTTACTATACTAGTCCATATCAATCTAGGCCTATCACTTCCCATAACATTTCCATTTACCGTCACTGTATTTCATCTCTTCATTACTACTTTTGTTGGTCTTCGTTATATATGATTAAACAATCTCAATCTATTCTCTCTCAACTTATCTTCTATCGGTACTACTCCTACCAATTCTTGAATATATTCATTTATAACTCTCTCTCTCTCTCTCTCTCTCTCTCTCTCTCTCTCTCTCTCCTATAGCTAGAATAGGGCCCTACCAGCAGGGGAAAGGAAACCTACAACTTTCAAATTATTTGACTACTTTTTGATGGAGTCTAGTGAGCAAATTTCTTGCTGTTAGTGAGTCTTTGTCATATCTCTGATTAATCATCTTTTAAAACTTCAAAATAAGTAAATTTATTACATCATTATTGTTTTTATATTAGCCTCCAAGACTACCCTTTTTATATTTTCAGCCATTAAACCAAAAACAAATTGAATCATACAGATCTCACGTCAAGATTACACAATTAATAAGTAAGTTTTGTTATCTAAAACATAAATCATCTACTGTGAGAATAGTACATACCCACTACTATAAGAGGAAATAAATTCAATCACCCTCCTCAATAACAAGCCTTGTGTCTGCATAAACAAGTAGCAGAAGGTACAGTTTTATTTCAGGAATAAAAATGGAGATTTTGAGATTTGTGGTTGCTTGGACTCTGTTGGTTTCATCGGTTTTGAGGGTGGGAAGTGAGGAACCGATGACTTTAGCCCCCGGTGACGTCCCGGCCATATACAACTTTGGCGACTCAAACTCAGACACTGGTGGCATAGCAGCGGCATTTTTTCCCATGGCAGCTCCATGCGGTGAAACTTTCTTCCACAGGCCGTCTGGCAGGGGCAGTGACGGCCGCCTCATCATCGACTTTATTGGTAAGAAACTTTCATTTAACTCTAGGTGCACAGAAATAAATAAAAAAATCGCAGAACCGTGCACGACTAGATCTTTGCTATGCATCTAACAGAATTATCAATATGCAGCTGAGCACCTAAAGTTGCCATACTTGAGTGCATACTTGGATTCTGTTGGAACCAATTTCCAGCACGGTGCAAATTTTGCAACAGGAGGGGCAACAATTAGGCGACAGAACGAGTCATGGTTTGAGAATGGTGCAAGCCCATTCCCTCTGGATATTCAGGTCGAGCATTACGTCCAGTTCAAAGCGCGATCGACTTATCTCTACAACAATGGTGATCCTAAAAATTCTTTCAAAAGAAAGAAAAAAAAAAAAAAAACATGTTTAGATTTTGTTTTGATTCAAAAAAGAAAAAGAAAAAAACTAATTGTGTTTATAATCTTCAGCGAACGAAACATCCCTGAAAAGCCGTCTCCCAAAGCCCGAGGACTTCTCAAAGGCTCTGTACACGTTCGATATTGGACAAAATGATATTGCTACTGGTTTTAGGAAGATGACCGACGAACAGCTTCGAGCTGCCATACCAAACATTGTTAACCAGTTTGCTGCATCACTCCAAGTAAGTCATGAAGTTGTGTTTTTAAATTAAAAAAACAAAAATCAAACATGAATCTTTTTTTTTTTTTTTGGGGTGTGTTGTGACAGCAATTATATAAAGAAGGGGCAAGAGTGTTCTGGATACATAACACAGGACCTATTGGATGTTTACCAGTAACCACTGTGAGTGTTCATAATCCAGTGCCAGGGTATCTAGATGAGAATGGCTGTGTCAGAAGTCAGAATGAGATTGCAATAGAGTTCAATAAACAGCTCAATAACAGAGTGGTCCAACTAAGAACAGAGCTACCACAAGCTGCACTAACATATGTGGATGTTTATGCTGCAAAGTATGGATTAATCAGCAATGCAAAGAGTCAAGGTGATTCTTTATTATTTATCCACTTAAACCAATATTCCACGTTATAATTTCAACCATTAACATCATGGTCACGGATTCTCTGTCCTAAAATTTACTATCCTTTCTGTTTCAATATACTTTCAATTATTAAATCATGTTCAAATTTTAAGATATCATAATCTTGAAATATTATTTAATAGTTGTAAGTGTATTGACACAAATGCATGATGGACAGCAGTGTAATCCCCATTATCAAAGTGGCAATACCATTTACTTAGTGCAATTTCATGCCACAAATTGAGTGGGGGTTGATTTTTTTTTTATTTTTAAATTAGTAGGATTGTAAAGAAATTGTTTTAGTCCACAAATCAGACAAACTCAGAAACATCAGTCTGGGTTCAAAGATCACACTCTGAATATTAAATAATAAATCTTTGTTCTTGTCGTTAACAAAAAAAACAGTCCACGTGAGTCTCTTATCTTAGTATGATTAAATTGACCTTAAATTAAGTTAGATACAACATATCGGTTGTGAAGTCAAAAAAAATCTTATTCCCTGGACTCAACCTGGCCAGTTGTGACTAGAATTCAAAAAATAAAAATAAAAATAAACGTGTTCATTAACAAAAACTTGTTAGTTTAGAAAAATTATTAAATAGTTTTGGAATATCATATAATATTATTTATGTAATATTTCTAACAAATGAGGAACTACACAACAACACTATCAACTAAACAGAAAGAAGTAGGTCAGTATCATTTAATCTGTAAAGTTTTTTACGTCTTTAGTTTTAGTTTGGAGCACTATGTTGACAATATCACATGATATTTCAAGACTACAAAAAAATTACCCGTAGAGCTGCAAACAAGTCAAGTTGAGCCAATTATTAAATTGTTCAAATTTGATTTTAAAAACTTAACAAATTTCAAAACATATTTAATTACATAACTAATCAATCTTAAATTAGTTTTTAACAAGTCAAACTCGAGTAGCTTAGTTTTTTATAGTGCATGTATGTTTTTCGAGCTAAGCAATAGTAAGTTACTTAATCTTTCTTGAAAAACTTAAACCAATTTAAAATGAGTTATAAACTTTAATGAGTTGATTTGTAATGAACTTTTAACCAACCAAATACGAGTTAAGCCTAGAGTAACATGATTGGTTGGAGACAAAGGGTGAATGAGAAACGTGATTTCCGATTCGAATCTCACCATTTTAAACACGTTTTTAATTATATGTATGATATGGACATGAGGACAGGGTTTGAGGAGGCACACAAGATATGCTGCGGGCATCACGAAAGGGGAGTCAGCATATGGTGCGGAAACAAAGGAATCATAAATGGTACTGAAATCTACAGTGGTTCATGTCCAGATCCTTCAACAATCATAAGCTGGGATGGTGTACACTACACTGAGGCTGCAAATTTTTGGGTTGCTAATCATATCCTCAATGGTTCACTTTCAGACCCACCCATTTCAATTACTCAGCAACCATATTAAATGGAACCTGGTTGGTTTACTACTTGGTTCATAATGCAGAAGAAGAAGAAGAAGTCTGCTATCTCTCATCTGAAATCATGTTGTAATTTTTACAATAAGCATCTTGGCTGTAAAGTAAAGCATATGTTTTAGGCCTAATGAATACAATATCATTACAAGAAGAATAAGCAGCGTCACTTTCCACCTTTCAAGTTTTAATATTGTCAATTTCATTCTCGAAATTTGTGTGTTTTCGAGTATTTTTTTTCTTTCAATTTTTTGTTTTTGATAAATTGTTTAATCATGTTCCTATCAATTTCATTTCATAATTTTGCTTTTGAGTGCAGAAAATCATTATGCAAGCAAGAGAAAATAAGCTTTAGCTACAAGAAAACTAGTAAATAAAAGTGAACAATAGAGCAAGGATGAACTGCTATACAACAACGCCAAACTGAGAAAATACTAGCACTACCGTCCCTGACACAGATTGCCTAATATATCAAATGCATAATCTGTGGCTCAAGAATAAATTTACAAACGTGTATGAACAATGTATATGTATGTATATTCACTGCCTATGTCCTTCAGGGAGACCTACCACCCTGTCGAAGGATACAACCCTTTGAGGCATAGATCCATCTTCCTCCTCATCGTCGTCAAATTCCAAGACATACCTGCCACAGTTATAAAAACTTTTGATCATGAGGATGGAATAATTTCCATGCGGTTTACAAATCTAAAATCCAAACGTAGCCCAACTGTTTTAGCTTATTTGTTTTCAAAGCATTTAAGATAGTGCCAGTTAATCAAGGTCAGAAAAGTTTAAACTAATCCAATGGAAAGAAAATAAAAATAAAAACTGGCTACTTTTTTAACTAAATACATAATCACGTCATTTGGCATTTATACTCTGCAATATTCAAATGGAAAAAAAGGGAAAGCTACTTACTCATCAGTCTTCCTCTGAAAATGTGTGAAAATAGTTGAGAACGTCAAGAGACATGCAAAATGCAAAAGTAATCAGTTTCGGTTTCAAGAAGCAGGAAAAATTGAATGCAAGAACACAAGAGTAACAATCTGCATACAACACGCATGGATGAACTGTTTACCTTGCGAGGTTGGACTACAGTTGCTCTATACAATGCGGTTGTTCCCGGATATACGGCCAAAACTTGCTTCCCAGTAGGGAAATCTTGAGCACTTGTGGAGTCATTCTGCTTTGGAAAAGGTATTATATGCGACACGGGCAACTTGTACTTTCTGAAATGATCAATACAAGAGAATCACAAAATCAGATGAAGCAATAGAGCCCACATTTGATCAAATTAACAATGAGGGTGGTTTGTAATGTTTTAAATAAGTGCACTTTTTGACTTTTTATAAAAAAAAAAAATGTGTAAAAAAGTAGAGAAAATAGGGAAGTAGAGAGGAGATGTTGATAGATGTAACCCAAGTAAGTGTATGTATGCAAAAAAAGTACACTTTTTTAGTACATGCCAAACACCTACTAGAATCAGTGTAACAAACTTGTAGGATTTACTGAATTTCCAAATAGAAGGAACAACATTGTAGTCAGCTAAGAATATATTGCATGATCGCTAATTAAAAAAATTATTGTTTTGAAGTACCTGACTGCATGAGTACCAAGTGATTTGTAGGTATGTAAAACCTCACAAACAATTATATGGAAGAGCGAGGTGGTTAATGTGTAGTAATTTAGAGAAAAATCTAGGAAGTCAAACAAACATTACCTCTGGCCGCCACCACCTTCTTCATCATCACCAGGCTCCTCGTCAAGTACTTCAAATCTGCACATGGAGATATGTTAGACAAGGATTGAATGTGTCATAAGATAAAAGAAACAATTGACAAACAACAAAAAATGGTAAATCCAAAAACCATATCCAGTCATGCTAAAGTCCACAGTCCACAACCAGCATAAGAAAGATCATTTTCCTTCTCGCCATCAAATAGTATGAACACAAACAACCAAAGCCTCCACTTTTCTTTATTTTACATCCTACTAATGTATTGCATGATTTAAAGGCTGACAAGATCAAAGAAAGCTATAGAACACACTCAAATAATAGTGTTTTATATATAATTTACCCCAAATTATAAGGGATAAGGTGTACTAGTCCATATCCGATCTGAGTGGTCCATAGTAGTGATCTTTACTGCAAGCTATTTGTCAGGATGATATATCAAGCATGTCTCATCAATAAGATGAAAAAATGTCCCCTCTAGAAGCCATACAAATAGAAGAAGACCAGTAATTGACAACGTCAACCGAGCTTAAACAGAGCTCTTACTTTCACTCCAGTAATTATATATAAAAAAAATAGTGATGACTGCTTCTTGAATGAGAGATACTAAACTGGTTCGCTGATATGATATATATGTGTTACCAATATGATTAGAAGTATTTTCTTGAAGAAGCCAGCACTACTGCAGACAAAATTAAACTAGTCACTCACAAAGAAAGTCAATCAATCTGGATTCATTAAATTATATAACAAATACTTCACGAAGAAAACACTATATAACAAGCAGCAGTAGTCACGGCTTCCTCAACAAAACATATTAAACCAGACTGTCCTATCAACAGAAAAGCAAAAATAGAATATGCTGCAATGTGATTCATTCTCCATAGGTCTTCAAATTAAACTTTGGAATTCTAATTTTCCTTGGTCCAAAAGAATTAAAAAAAACAAAGATAAGGGGTGTAAGTCTGTGTATGTGGGTGGGGGGTGGGATATCAGAGAAGGAGAGGCACCCGAAGCACAAACTCATGTTAGGTGGAATAGAACTAAACTTACTCTTTAGTTTCCCTGTCAAAATGAATAACTTTAACAACGAACCACTCATCTTTCTCAGCATTTTCTTGTGTGACCCTAGCTGCTACCTGAAAATTGTAGTAGGCATTAGAAAGAGATTTAAATGTGCATCCAGCATAAAAGAGAACAGTGGAACTGCCTAAAGAACAACTTGATGAGGAAAAAAAAAAACAGATAAATGTTAACACCAAGGGCAAGAAAAGAATAGGAGGCACTATATAGAGCAACAAATGTTGAAAGAAATCACTTCAGAGCTAGATTATTACTTGTTCACCCTTCAGACTAGCAAGAGCATCCAGTTGGTTTCGCATTGATGGAGAGAGCCTCAGGATATCTGAATCAGCCTTCATTCGTTTCTTTTTCTGCTCATTACCTTCTGCATGTACATAATACCCAATTTAACACTCCAACAAAATTAAACAGAGCAACATGACCATTAAGTATGAAAACTTCACTCATAACAATCAGAATTTAAGGCATGAAAAGTGCATTTTTCTACTCATTGGCCTAGATGTACAAGGTTGCTTAAATTCGTTACCTTTTGTGACTGGTAAAACATATTCACTGCATTAACTATCAATCATTTCCAACAAACTAAATAAAAATACAGTTCAAGGTAAGACAGCTCACAAGATACATCATAAAATAATTATGTAGTGTCTGTCTGTTATGATATTACCCTTCAATACCTTTGGACAAGCAAAATGGAAAGGAAGACGTAGAGTCCATGGAAGGGAGGGAGGACGAGAAAAGACAAAAAAATACTGAAGGGAAAAAAAAAACATGTAAATTGTCAAGTTCCTGAGGTATTTGAGACAATAACTGTCTGACTGTTTTAGTTAAAACTTGTTTAACTCATTCAGCTAGCTTAGAGTGTCTTTTTTCTGGTAATTGTTTATAATGTCAAGTTCCAAGGTATGTTGCTCAAAAAAATGGAAAAAGGAAAAATTAAAGTGGAAAACGCTACAATTAAATGAAACAGAAGCACAAGGAGCAGATGAATATGCATAGATAACCATGCACAAAAAAACCAACTTTCCAAGAGCCAAGGACAATGAATTGTACATACATCACATAAATTATAATGTGTAAAAAGCTTAACATAAATGCTTATACCCAGTTTTTTTATAAGACATAATTCCCTACCTAAGTTCTTGCATACACCTATCCTTCTTCGTTGTTGCCGAGGTCCAGAAGGAATCAGAGCATCCAGTTGGACTAATAACTGATTTGAAATGCTGCAGCCAATCAAAGCAACTGGCATGGTGAGTTTAAAAAAAAATAAAAATTGCAAACATATATAATGAAAACTTAAGGGTTAGACCCCATTTTAGCTTCCAGATGAGCTCCTGACCCCAGCTTCAAACTATGTTCCTTACCACATCCAATTAAGTGGAGATGAAAAAAGAAAAATTCAAAATAGAACAGAAGGTGTAAGTCATCAACTTCATCAAAGATATGAATGGACATACTTCACTTCACTTTCTGAAAGTTCTTTGGCTTGTGTATACAACATCTTAAGCCTCAACAAAGAATTATCGCCAGGCTTCTCAACCACCTCAGGAGCTGCATCAGCATGCAAATCATACAGAGAAAAAACCCAGCTATATCAGTTAAGCAAGAGCATACAAGGAGATGTGAAAAGAAAATCTGTTCATAAATATATATAGAAGAAACAGGCATTGCACTCAATGATGCTGACCAAATGCTAAAAACTTTTAAAGCTAATCAGAAGCTCTAGTTAGCAGTCAACAGCACACGTAGAGAATAGAAAGTGCCAAAAGTAGTAAGAAAATTAAAAGCCTAACTGTTTATTTCAAGGCCATGAATCCATCAAGTGATAGGAGAAAGAAGTTTAAAAAACAGTTGGAGCTGGCAATCTCTTCATGATTTTACCAGAGGCCTAGGATTGAGTCCCACCATTATCTAGTTTTTTTTCCCTTTTTTGAACTCAAAATAAAATAATAAGAACAAGAAATTGGCCAATAAAACTCTATACAAAGAACGGAGATTTACCACAAAAGCGTATTCGTGTTCTTTTTGTCTCATCTATAATTTTCTCGACAGTCTACAAGAAGCAACCATAGTGATGTGAATGGCCAATCAACTTCTATACGCAAGTAATCATGGTACATACGTACAATCCTCATTCCCGCCTTGTATACGGTTGAATAGGCAAAACACGGTTCAAAATTCAATGTGTTTCATTTAATGGTATAAACATTTAATATTGATTAAACACTTCAGTCAATCATACTTACAGTGAACTCAAAACGGAGAAAGTCATTGAAAGAGAAAACACACTGTTGAAGTTAACCCCTTGAAATGATTCTTGATAATCTAGCTAAAGGATGAAAAAATGATTTAAGTAGAAACACAACTCTCTAAATTATAGAAATTTATTGTATTCTTGCCACCAAAGAGAAATTAAAATATGAATAAATGTGCTATAAATCAAATGATAGCTGGCCACTGAGCTTGCTTGATATCTTATACATGGCCTCCAAGGTTCTCCACAATAATTTATATATATATATACGAAAAAGAAGGTGACTCAATGCCCAAGGGAAATGCTGTGAATGAATTTTAACACTATGAATGAATTTTTATATGTATATAATTTATTTATTTTTTTGATTGACAAATATGTATATAAATATATAAAAAGGGAAATGCCAAAAACAGCCCTTAGGACAGTTGTTAGTATTGAAAAAGTGTGATGTGTGTAAGTGTTTTGGGATATGTGTGTGAGAATATATATTGTATATGTTGTATATTACGAATTAGAAAATCAGAGAGTCAAAAACTTGTGATCGCGATCAAGCCAGAGACTGTCGATCGAATCAGCCCAACAAACCACGAGGTGTGGTCGATTAGCGGAACCAGAGAGAACCAGAGAGGGAGATAGGTCGCGAATCAATCACGATGCTGAAGCAGACTGAGTGAGGCGACGGCGTGAGAAGCGACAACGACAACGGCTGAGAAGTGGCAACGGCTGAGAGAGGCAACGGTGCTAGGGTTCGCAAAGACTGATTGCGACCTTAGGTTTTTGAACACGGCTCTGATACCATGTAAATTTCTGAAAGCTTTTCTGTATATTCAACTTAAGTATGTTTACAAAGAGTGCCTAAGTTATATAGCCCTAATCTATGACAAAAAAAGGAAATACAAAGAAAAGGAATTTTCTAATTCGTAATATACAATATATACAATATATATTCTCACAGTTTCATTGTTGGTGTGGACGAAGTTATCTCTCTCTTCGTCTCTGGTCTCTGATCAGAAAGCTCTATCTTTTCGTATTAGTTCTCTGATCTTAGTACACCAGGTTTTGTCTTTATTATACTTTGACCACATCAGTACAAGTGTGTGTATTATATTACGGTGATTTGGTGATTGTTTGGATTCTGATGAGTGTGCCTTCTGCCATCAGAGGGGCCATTGGAAGTACCACTGTCCCAAGAAGGGATGTCTGCCTGCCACATCTTCTCAACAGTCTCAAACCCAATCCTGAGCCCTTCCTTTGAGTACTTTCCGTCCCTCCGTTAGTACCACTGCATCTGCTCCAACTCCTAATCCTGACTTAGCTTCCTTGAGGGCTTAGATTAGTCAACTTCAGTATATACTGTCTACCTCCCAGCCCTCCTCGTCTGCTTCGGTTGTTTCCTCTCTTCATTCAAGTTTGCTTAGGCCTTCTTCATGTATCTCTTCATCTGTTTGGCTTTTTGACTCGGGTGTTTCTCATCATATGACTCATCATCTCTCCTTACTACAAAATTGAATTCCCCCTCCCTTACCCATTACTGTTAATACTGCTAATGGGTCTAGTATATCTGTTATATCCGTTGGATCTGTCTTACCGTCTGCTATGTCTATTGTCTCTATTCCATCTATCCTTTATGTTCCTCAGTTTTCTGTCAGTTTATTATCTATCAGTCAGTTTGATGCCTCCAATTTTGATGTTATCTTTTCTTCTTCTATCTATTCTGTGCAGGATCGGATGTCCAAGCAGCAGATTGGGACTGGCCGCAGAATTGGAGACCTCTATGTGGTGGAGAGCTTGCATCTACCTATGACAACTTCTCCAATTGCATTTTCCTCTTTTCAGTTAGATTCTCTATTCAATCCTTTCTACTTGTGGCTTTCTAAATTAGGGCATTTGTTTGCTGACCGTTTACAGTCTTTAACTCAGTCACGTATATTAGGTAAAGTTTCTCCTAGTGAACTTACTGAATGTCGGGGGTGTAAACTAGCCAAAATGACAGCCTTACATTTTCGTAAAAGTACTTTTATATCTGATACACCGTTTTCTTTCGTTCATACTGATGTTTGGGGTCCTTCTCCTGTTCTCACCAAAAGGGGTTCTGCATACAATGTGTTATTTGTTGATAACTGCACCTGTTACACTTGGGTTTATCTTATGACTCATAAGTCCAATTTCTATCAGATCTACCGTACCTTTCAGTCTATGATTACTACTCAATTTGGGTCTACAATTAAAGTATTACGGTCTGACTTGGGTGGAGAATATTTTAAAATGAGTTCTGTGAGTATTTGGCCAATTTAGGTACCATTCACCAAACTTCCTGTACAGATACACCTGCTCAAAATGGTCGAACCGAGCGTAAACACCATCATCTCATCGAGACAACTAGGTCTCTTCTTCTCTCTACCTCAGTTCCGGCTCCATTCTGTGGAGAGATAGTTCTTACTGCTGCTTTTCTTCTCAACCGCATGCCTACTCCCACTCTTTCTGGTCAGTCTCCTTATGAGGCTTTGTTCTCCCAAATTCCTAACTACTCCCTCCTTCGTGTGTTTAGATCTGCCTGTTTTGTCCTTCTTTCCCGCAAAGATAGGACCAAACTTAGTGTCCGGTCTGTCCTCTGTGTCTTTTTAGGTTATAGTCCTACTCAAAAAGGCTACTGTTGTTATGACCCTGTCTCTCGTCGCCTTTATGTCTCCCGTCATGTTGCCTTTCTCAAACGTCTATCTTACTTTTAGCTTCCCCCTCTTACTGCTCCCGTTTCCAAAGAAGATTTGGTTCACATTGACCCATTTCCTTCCAAGGTCCCGTCTGATGAGTACATCTTCACTGTTCCTCCTGAGGCCATTCCTACTTCTCCATCTGTGTCACCCATGGCTCCTTCTCATCCTTCAGCTTCTTCTTCCCCTCCGTTGTTGGTCTATTCTCGTCATCAGGCTCCCCTACCACCAGTTGTCTCCACTCCTGTTGCTGCTCCTTCTGCTTCTAACGACTCTGATCCTGCTGCACATCGACATCCTACTCGTGAGCGTCGTCCTTCAAACAGGTCGGATTGGTCTAATACATGTTTTTCTGCTTCCTATCATACTTTTTTGTCTGTTATTCATTCTTTTTCAAAACCAGAGTCTTACAAGGAGGCCTGTTAGGATCCTAATTGGGTTCACGCTATGGAGAATGAGTTGTTTGCTTTACAGAAGACTAACACTTGGAAGTTGGTTCCTTTACCTGCTGGCAAGAATATAGTTGGCTGCAAATGGGTCTATAAAGTCAAGACTCATTCTGATGGTTCTCTCGAGCGCCACAAAGCTCGTTTGGTTGCCAAGGGTTTCTCACAGGAGCATGGTATTGATTAGGAGGAGACCTTTGTCCCTATTGCCAAGATAACTACTGTTCGTACCTTGATTTTTGTTGCTGTTGTTCGACATTAGCCTCTCTATCAGATGGACATTAAGAATGTTTTTCTTAACGGTTATCTCACTAAGGGGGTCTACATGCGTCCTCCCCCTGGTCTTCTCCACTCCTTTGGGAAGGTTTGTCGTCTTCGGCGTGCTCTGTATGGTTTGAAACAGTCTCCTCATGCTTAGTATGATCGCTTTCAGACTGCCGTTACCGAACTTGGGTTTCATCCTTTTGCTTCCGAGTCTGCTTTGTTTTTGAGATATATCTCGGCTAGTTTTGTTGGTCTCCTACTCTATGTGGATGATATGATCATCACTGATTCTGACTCTTCTGTTATCTCTGAGGTCAAGCAACATCTCTTCCGCACTTTCGAAATGAAGGATCTTGGTCTATTGCGGTATTTTCTTGATATTGAGGTTGTCTCTTCTCCAAAGGGTTATTTTCTGTCTCAGGCCAAGTATGCTAAGGAGATTATTTACCATGCCGGTCTTACTGATACTAAGGTTTCTGATACACCTATTGTGCCTAATGTGAAGCTCAACGCTACTAATGGTGTCCTTCTGGATGATCCCACGGTCTATCGCGAGCTGGTGGGTTATTTAGTTTATTTGATTGTCACTCGCCCTGATCTTACTTATGCTGTTCATGTGGTTAGTCAGTTCGTTTCTGCTCCTCACCTACTTTGGTTGGCATTCTTCGCTATCTCCGGGATACCATCTTTCAGGGCTTGCTGTTGTCGTCTACTTCCTCTTTAGACTTGGTGGCCTATGCTTATTCTGATTGGGCTGGTGATGTTACTGATCGCAAGTCCACCTCTAATTTTTGTACGTTTCTTGGCGATTCCTTGATCTCTTGGAAAAGCAAGAAACAAATTGTTGTTACTCGCTCTACTGTCGAAACTGAATACTATGCTATGGCTCAGGCTACTGCTAAGCTTATTTGGCTTCGTTGTCTTCTCTCTAATTTGGGTATACCTCAATCTTCTCCGACCTCTCTCTATTGTGACAACCGCAGTGCTATTTAGATTGCCCACAATACTGTCTTTCATGAACGAACGAAACACATTGAGATTGATTGTTACTTTGTCCGATAGCATCTGCAATCTGGCTCTATCTCACTTCCTTTTGTCTCATCGGCATTACAACTTGCGGACTTCTTCACCAAGACTCACACTACCGCTTGGTTTTAATTTCTTCTTAGCAAACTCTCAGTATTTTCTGCTAAAACACCTTGAGTTTGAGCGAGGGTGTGAAAATATATATTGTATATTACGAATTAGAAAATTCTTTTTCTTTGTATTTCCTTTTTCTGTCATAGATTAGGACTATATAACTGATGCACTCTTTGTAAACATACTTAAGTTGAATAAACAGAAAAGCTTTCAGAAATCTTACAATGTGAACAGTCTTAAGGGCTGTCATTAGCAAGATCCTATAAAATTATATAGTATATTAAATAAAAGTGATTCTTACGATTCACAATTCAATACGATTCAAGATTTACCATTTTAGCAAAATGATTTGCGATTCGATTAGTGATTTAACAACAATGATTAATGCTAACCACTCTGAATATTGAAAAATAAGTGGGTGGCAGATCTTCACCAGATCTTTGATTCCTTTCACCTTAATTGAAAGAAACTAACAAACCCATCGCTAATGAACATCTCATGATCAAATCATTGCCTTATTTCAGCACTTGTCTCTCAATTCTGCATAGCTAAAAATTTCTGTAAACAGTAACAAATTGTGGAACTTTGCAACTACAGTCAATCAACCAATCTAGGCTCCTCAAACCCACAATGTAACAGCCAAGGTGCACTAGATCAACCATGTGCCTTATTTACTTCAATTCAAAACACGACATCTTGAAACCTAACAAAAAATCTATCTGGGCCTGCCAAATGTCGAAACCCCAAGGACATTAAATACACAAACTCCATGCTGATGAAACTAATCTGACATCATTTCAAAACCCATGCATGTTCTGAATAGAAAAATGTTTTATAATCTCAAACATGACCCACTTCAATAATATAAGATCTGTTAATTTGTTTAGCAATATTCTTCTCAAATAGAAACAAACCCATGAAGTATACCCAATAATAATAATAATATTTCCAGCACAATTAAACATCCAATTCAAGTAATATTTCATAAATGTACTACACATGTTCATGAATACCATAACATAAATCTAGGGTAAGTGATAAAATTGATGAGAGAGAGAGAGAGAGAGAGAGAGACTGACTGGATTGGAGCTTCTTGTGCATCTTATTGATCTCGAAGAGAACATCCTCTTCCTCTTTCCTTAACCGATCGAGCTCTTTGGATGTTTCCAAAATAACGGCAATGTCGGGAGACGACATGATTGGGTGGATCCTTCTAGAACCTTCTCCGAGAGTTGAAATAGTGATCAGGCTTTCGGAACGTTGTTGCGGAAGAAAGAATAAACAAAAATAAATAATTGATATTACCTGGAAATAATTGTATTGTATTTGTATGAGTTTGAGTTGAATGATGATTTGGTAACTTCTCGTTCTGTTTCTGAAGAACGGAATGATATTTTCCTTTTCTTTATTTTTTTAATCAACTTTTTTAAATCATGGAATTTAATCGGGGGAACCGAGGATAGCGTGTGCCTCTGATCTGATCGTGTTATCGGCACCTGATATTTCCACGTGGCAAAAGAACAAGTAGGTTGTAACTTTTCGATGACAAGTCTATATTCTCACTCTCCAAGGCTCTGTTTTGGATTAATTTTTTTTTTTTTTAATGTACGGATATTTACTTAACCAACCTTAAACGACTAAGATCGTTCAAAAAAAAAACCTTGGAACAAATCCCACAAAGCCTCTCAACAAGAATCCCAAATTTCTCCAAAATGATTTTTTCTTAAAATGACTTAGAGTAACTCTTTATATGATTTGATATTTAATATTACACAATATATATATATATATAATAATACTTATAAAATTACTTAAAAATCACTCTAAATAGATGAATTCTTTGATCCCACAAGAAAGTCATTAATGAGCTGAGCTTCTTGCTTCTGAAATTTGAGAAATTCGTCAAATCATTTATCATAATGTTGTTAGTATTTTTTATAAAAATATTAAAAAAATATATAAAATAAATTAAATAGAAATGACAAAGTAATTATTATTATTATTATTATTATTATTATTAAAGAATGAAATATACAATAAACTATAGAACTAAAAAAAATACAAAAATGAATTATATTACATCATGGAACATATTATAAGATGGATTCTAATGGACATACAAAATAAAATACGATAAATTATTTAAATTTAAAACTTTAAAAAACAAAAGATAAAAGATGTAAATCGAAACCTGTGTGATATTACAGTTTCTTTAAAACAGATTCACCGCCTCCCGATGGGTGTTGGAGGTACGCCGGCATCTGTCTCCCAAGATATGACGGTCGAAACCAACTAATGCATAAACACCTTCTGAATAGCTTCGACGAACTTAACAATGGTTGCACTCTTTCTAACAACAACCAAAGAAGAGGCTAACACAAAAAGATAAGAGGAAAAAAAAATGGTGGAAAAATATCTCCAACTTTTTTATCTCAAAGCACCATTTTCATTTTCCATAAATAAAAACCTCTCCAAAAATTATCTCTTCAAGTTTGAGGGGAAAGGCCACTGTTTATACAAGTAGGAAAGAGTCTTAGCCTTCACCAATGAAATCATCAAATGTCATCAACTCTAGTCATTAGGGCTAGAGTTACAAATGTTCAAAACTCCAAAACCATTATATAAATCATAAAATGTATATAATGCATAAGTTTTGAGAATTAAACTAGATGGGTTGCAAAATAGATACGGGTGTTAGGTAACAACCTGATCAAAGCCCAATCTCAAACACATGCACAAACTAAGCCTAACAAAGCTCATTCCAAAGCTCAAGACTAGGTCCAGGTCCAGGTCCAAATCCAAGTCTAAGACCAAACCTAGCACATGCACAAGTACGAGTATAGGCCCAGTCCAAACTAAGACTAAAAGTCCAAATCTAAACCTAACATTATTGATGCCCTCTGTAATGCCCCATATTTTATTACTCGGATAATGTAGGAGTCGAGTATTAAAAAGAATTAGAAGCATATTCCAGTCAGATACTATTCGACTCTACCCGGCACGTTCAGGATGCCGAATAAAATGGATAGATAGGCCGAATAGTTATTGAACTATGGAGCCGAGGGAATAAAAGGATAATGATTGAAAGTGGGCCTTGCCCTGAGGCACGGGGAACGAGTTTAAATAGAGGAATAGCAGACTGAGAAAGTTATGTGAAAATTATTGTGTTTAACTTAGAATACAAGCAATCTTGAGTGTAAGACTGACTTGCCCGTCGAAGTGCTAATTCCAGCACCCCCGACCGGAGTGTTCATTATTTTTCAGGTGACTAGAAGAGGATCAAAAGCGTCCTCTAGGATCTGAAGAGTATCCCCAAAACCACTTCTCCACAGATAACCTTACCAATATTCATCAATTAAGTCCATTTACAAATAACATTTCATTCTTGGATGAAATGCTAAATAATTAAATATATATATATATATATCTCGTTACACAACAATGACATTTACATACAAATAAAAGAAATGCCCTGAGGTTTACAATAAAAGAGAAGACACTACTCTTTACAAAAAAAAATAGCACTTAGCCAAACAACAAATGAAGTAGTACAATCCATCACTACATTACATTTATGAAATGGTAAAAACCATTGTTTGATCTTCAAATCCGAAAAGCATTCCATATACACATGTACAGGCAGGAAGTGAGTAACCACTAGCTCACAAAGCAATTTCATATTAAAACATTAGAAGATATGCGGATACCAAAATACTCATACATATACGTGAAATCATATCATATCAAAACCATATGATTTTAATACATAATCTCTTAAATCCAATTTATTTAATTAACCATAACAAGTTAACTTAAATAAATAAACATGTTTCAATAGCAACAGGACATCATTTTCAATTTATTCAATTATCTCATTATCAATTGAATCAAATAATTAAACAATTCATCAAATTCATTTTATACGGTCTTATGAGATGAATGCACATGCCATGTCATACTCAAAATATTTTTCTAATCTTTTGAAAATCTTACGCACAATGCCATTTTGAAAACACATTGATCCAATAATTTCAATAAAATTCCAATATAGTAAATACGACTCAGGTAATCCCTAGGCTGGTGTCTGCAAGTAGATTATACAAGTACTACCAATTTGTCATTTTTATCAATATTAATTGAAAGGCTCGACACCTGTAATCTGTTATTTTTACCAGTATTAACTGAAAGGCTCGACACATATAATCTACACCACCTTTCAAGACTTACCACCGTATTTACCCCAAAATCATTTCATGAAAATTTGTTTCCCAACATTCATTTCTCAATGCAAAGTTTTCAAATCAAACTTCAAAGCTCATCATCATCAAATGAATTGATATGCCAATGCAATGATTAATAATACAATGCAATATTTATTCCACTTTTAATATTCCCATTGTAATCAGAATTCTCATTTCTCATTTCAATATAATTTCTCAAGTGAGAGGGTAATTTTGGTGAAAATTGGGCCGAGCTATGAGATGGACGTTATGGCCCAAAGTACGAAGGGCTCGTTAAAAAGGCCGTAAAATTACTTCGGCCCAAGAAAGGTAAAAGATTACTCCGGCCCGAGAGAAATGTAAAGTTACTCCGGCCCGGAAGCAACTCAGAGTTAGTCCGGTCATGGCGTATTGTGGTTAGAACGGTTACAATCTTGCTACTCGGTAGCTCGGTCTGAACGCGCCATGGGTTGAACATGAGAGGACCGAGGTAAGGAGGAGTAAGAGGAAGAACCGAACTAAGGTTAGTTCAGCCTGCTCTGCGGTTCAGCATAGCCATGATTACTTCGGTCATGATGGAGTTCGGCCATGGTAAAAACCATCTCACTTGGTTTAAGCAGTGAGGGGGGTGTTAAAGGATAAGCATTATCTTTTAGGAGTATGAATCCTAGCAGGACTCTGCATGGAGGAGTAGAAGTCGTACTAGGATTGTGCCACACAAAACCTATAAAAGCTCACAAACATCACCTTGGGAGAGATAACACACAACTTTGCTTTCTGAATACACAGAGCTTTGTCTATTTGTCAAGTTTGCTGACTTAGGCATCGGAGAGGTTTCCGGCACGCACCCGCTGGCTAGCTCACGTTTGTGTTTTCAGGTGATAAGGCGACGTCGTACGGAGGAGCGCAGACTTGGTCAACAGGATTATACGAGAAGGTTGATTTCTTTCCCGTACAATTAGCGCCGTCTGTGGAAAAAACAGACAGGACAAAACCTCTTGATCAAGCTTTACCTCTCTAGAAACAATGGCACATATTGAAGAATTGCCACAGTCTGCCATCGACGGGCAAACTCCAGATGGGGGCGCAAGGTGTGAAGAACTACCTTCTATCCCTCCCATGGCAGATTTGGAGCCCCAACGACATAACACCAGGAGGGATACTAGGGGGAAGCGGAATAACAGCCCCCGTCACTCTCATTTGCAAAGTCCTGACAGGAAAAGACGAAGGATTGATCCTCAAGCTCTGGAAGACCGCGTCAAAGAGCAAGATGAATTAATAAGAAAGATGGCGGCGGACATGGAAGCTTTGAAGCACCAGATGAAGGGAAAAGAAGTGGCGACAGGAGAGGGGCGCAAAAACAAGACGCCCCCTCGCTACTCAGAAAATCGTAGTAGGAATACCACACCCTCGCAAGGAGAGAGCAGAAGCCTCAAGACAGGCGATACTCAATCCTGGTCTTCCAGAACTCGTCACTCCAGGTCTGAGAGGACGAGATCTGAAAGATCATACACTGAAGGAAGCACGTATTGGCCCTCACATTCGCACTAAACCAGATCTAGACAGACAGAGCTACCCAGATCATCCGACTTACGAACCGTGCTCGAAGAAAAGGCACGATGCAAGGAGGATGCCAGGGCACGGGATCCACATAGAGTTTCTGCCTTACACCGGTTGGCTCTTCGGACGCATGGAAGCGTTGAGGTTGGAATGCCAATACCGCGCCTTGCCTACGAACCAACGGACAAAACATTAGCAAGGTTGCAGACTTTGCCGTTTGTTCCGGCGATTGAAAACGTGCCCCTACCATCAGGCTTCCTTCAGCCCAAATTCACTACATGTGAAGGGAAAACGGACCCCTACTCACACTTGAGTCACTTTCGCCAGGTCATGGCTGTATACCGGCGAAAGGAGGCCTTAATGTGCATACTCTTCCCATCTAGCCTTGGCGACCTAGGCTTGACTTGGTTCGAGAAACTTCCAAAGGGCAGCATAGCCTCTTGGGCGCAATTGGCAGAGGCGTTCGTAACAAGGTTCCGAACAAACACTAAAACCCCGGTGGAAATCGACCAGCTACTCTCCATCGACATGGGTGATAAAGAGACCCTAAGATCCTACAATAGTCGCTACTGGGAGACATTCAATCAGATTGGGGACTGCCCCACCAATCTCGCCATTGCACAGTATAAAAGAGGCCTTCCAGTCGGGAACAGACTAAGGGACTCGATCACCATGACGCCACCCCTCA